ATATTTATAAGAATTACAAATATTATTTATATACACAAAAACCTCTTACAGTTATTACAACTTTTACTAATTTTTATTTAACGAGTTTCTCAGCTGTCACCTCTATAATAACTTTTGCTATACTACTTATGGTATAATTACAAGACTTCATTTTCGCGTTAATAATTTCTCTATTAAGTAATTATGAACTTCATATAACTTACCTTCCATCTTAAAGTGTCTATCGGGTAGATACAAGTCAGAAAATTTCTAAATCAGGTTTTTAGTTACTATATTGTTAGTTACTGTAAATAATACTTTTGTAGAACATTAATTTTTTTTAACATTAAAATTAGCTTTCAGTCTCTGTGATACTATTAACTATGAAAGTATAACAGATAACGTACATTCTACTCATAAACAAAGTGCTAGCCAAATTTATTTTTATTATGAGTACTACTTTTAGCACTTTTTTGTATGATGTTTTGTGTTTAGTAATTAACTGTCTAACTTTAGCTTTAATATTGATGGACTTAATACAATTAAAAAACCACCGTTAGCACTACTTAAGGAAGTCAGCTTTTAAACCTCTTAAAATTTAAAACTTAGGTTAGTATTAGTTTCATTAGTGACTTTTTAATTATAGTTTTATAAGGACGCTTTGTTGTTATCCTCTTTTACATCATTCTATCAGAACATAATTTGAATCGAAGCATAAATAAATAAACAAATGTTGCAACACTAATAGTATTTCTTAAGAACTACTAATTAAGTGTGAAGTTGCCCATTATAATTTGCTTAAAAAAAAAAAAACACTTCTCACGTTATGTTTGTAAAGCTATAAAATAAATTAATACTTTTAAGCTTATTTAGGTAACGTCAGAACAATTTTTTTTAAAAAATAATATTGCTAAAAGAATTAACTTTTTGGTTATTAGTCTAAGAATTTAATACTATTATTAATTATAAATATATATTTGCCCTACGAGCAACATAGTTAATAGCATGTTTAAGTGATGTAGTAGTATTCTTTTTATTTTTAAACCTTTAATACTTATTTAAAAACTTTTTTATAGAGTGAATGATTAAGCTCATACTTTTTTTTATAAAGTAATTAAAATTTCTATATAAATAATTACTATTAAAAAAATTACCGCCGGCAAGCATAAATAGATCTTAATAAAAGTTAACCATCTCTTCTTCCGAATGAGAGCTTCCCTAACCTCTGTTTTACTTGGTGGAAGAGAGTTTTAAGTATTGTGTACCCTTAAATAAAATTTACTTAAGTTTTTAATTAACTTTTTCTTCAAATCTGTTTCTAAGTACAAGAACTTTGAGCTTATCACCTTTAATTAGGCAACAACCCTCTGTTTAGTCGTTTCGTAGATATATATTTTTGGCAGCATGCGTATAATCTACATTAAAAACGAATTTAGATGTTAAAAATATTAAAGGAATTATATAAATTTTTCTGTAGCTATAAGAAAGTTGCCCAATCGATCTGGCGTTTATATGTAAATCATTGCGTTGTTACTGTCATACCCAAAATTATGCCTACTATTTTAAGAATAATTTTCTTATGTATGGGCCTTCTGAATAGTGGTCTTCGGTTGCATAAACAATTAACAAATTAAATTTTCCCTTCTAAGAACAGAAGATCAATATTATTCTATAATAAACAAATAATAGCCCTTATAGAAATTTATTTAAATAAGTTAAATCTAAAAGGTTAGCACAATAAAATAATGTTAATACTTAAACTTATGCCTAGAGATGAACGAAGTTTTTATTTATGAAAACAAGGACTGTTTTGCGCAGGCTCACTGGCGATAATTAACTTTTTTACCATTAAAACTTCATTTGTGTTCATAATGTTATATTGTTTAAAACTATGATCACTTTTAATAAGCAGAGCTATAATTATCATAATACCAACAGAAACTTATTCTTTTTTAAAAGACTTAATAAAAGAAGGTATCCTGTAATTAAATATCATTAGTTCTTAAAAGATTTAATACGACACAAGAAAATGAGGATCTTTAGCTCCATAGCGGGGTTACAAAATCCATCTTAAAAAATCTAATTAAAGATATATCCATATTTTAATCACATAACAGATTTCATGACTTTATGCAGTGTTAAAGCAAAGAAATAAAGATGGGCTAGCTAATATCAAATTAATGTCTTCGTAAGGAGACCAAATTGGTTCGATATAGCTTTTAGAGTATATAACATATTATAACGCTCAGAATGTAATGTTAAATAACGAAAAACTAAATAGTCATCGAAAGAAATTTTAAGCAGAAAATTTAGTTACAGTTATCGTTTTTTCTATTATTTATAATTATAATCAATAAAATTGGGCCAATAGAGTAAAAGATAAATTTTGAGACCAGTTACGACCTAGTTCACTCGACTTAAATATAATAAAAAGTTTATTTAAAATGCATTGGTCATAATATATGGTTAGACAATAAATTTGCAATTTTGTTAATTGAAAGTAGTCTCACAATAACGCAGACTCAACAGATAAAACTAATGAGGGTTTATAACTCTTAAAATATGCTAATACGACAATAACGTCATTTTAAATGTAACAAGTGTTGGTTAAACCATTGTGGAAATAAGTTTAAATATATCAAAGTCTATATTAGCAAAGGACGTAAAAAAAAAAATACTATCATGTCAAAAGTATAGAGAATAAGAAACGAAAAGCAAGAAGAGGATTATCATAGTTATTTGAGGGCGAGTTAAGGGACTTGCATTACTAACTTATCTAACCGTTAAGCTAAATTATTCTTATATAATTACTACAAACTTTGTAAAATACATAATAAAATGTACACATTAACCAAGAGTACCAGATTACAAGAGAATCCCCAGATATAATAAACGAATAAATTAAAGATTATACTTTTATACTATACAAGCTATTAAAGCACATAAATTAACTAATATATATTTATAAACTAAAAAAGGTACTAAGGCACTTTAAATGAGGGTAAATTGAATAATGGCAAAATACAAATATTAAATATAAGTGACTATCTATTAAAAAATTAAGTATAAGTTAAAAATTTAAGCCCTTTTGATAATAATATTAATCCATAGACCGGTAAACTCAAGGTCTTAAGCTCGACTCCCATGATAGAGACTTCCTTTTTTGGTCTTTTATGGTTGTGTACTTAAGTTCGCTCTTATGAATTGATAGAATGCACGTTGAGTACAGGCGCATTTTATCTTGATCAAATGAACAATGGTTCCAGCCATATTTATTTGTGCAAAGCGCTATAACAGCGACCATGAAAGTTAGTTGACATGATAATTTTCGGCACTTGGCTGCGTAGAGTTAAGCAAGTACTGCTGAGAATCATATGCGGTTTGAGGCCGGGAGCGAAACATCTGCTTGTAAAAATGGGAAATTTTCGTGGTAATAATTCTAGTTTTAGTACCGTCACAACTCTTAGTATAATGTGGCGTGGGCTATACGAATAGTACGCGTTCATTGGTTTGTCCCGTCTGACAATATATTCTAGTTATTGCTCACCTCAAACGTAACATCTATTTTGACTTTGGGTGCCCAATTACACGTTATAAGGCCAAGTTGCAGACACAAGCAAACTAGCAGGTTGTTGGTAACGAAAACTTAAAAAATTGCTATGCTTAGTGATTAATGTTGAATAGCACCATTTCATGTCTCTCCGTAGCACTAGTGTGAGTTCTAAGCTAGCTTGGCTTCAATATTATGTTAATACAGCTCTTTGGGATAGTGCTGTAATCTCTTTACTGATTACGCTGTTTGTTAATGGATTAAGGGGTTAAATTCCAGTACATATTATTGAAAAACGCAGGATTTAATGGTTAAATAACTAGAAGATTTTAATACCGAAACAACTGAAATACAAAAATTAAAAATTGCCAATATAGAATGGCAACAGCAAACCAATTATTGGTTGAGAAAAAAGCATTTTTGTAAAACCCTAAGAATTTTAATTAAAATAGTTACATAAACAAAGAAGCCCACTAGCTGCGATCTCGAAGTTTAAATACGAGAATTTAATGTATATAGTGATGCGTAAACCAACTAATAAAGGTCTGTTTTAGCAAACCTTATTATACAATACTATAAAAATATTTTTTTCCAACCAACGTATTAATTTTTGCTTTTTTTTAATTTTTATAAAATTCTTATCAGACTTTTAGCAAATTTTGACCACCCTTAAAATACAACATATACAATAAATTAGCTTATTTACTCACGATAACGGACGTGCGATTCTCTGCTATCATGTCCAAGGACTGTCATTCGATAATTTAGTAAAGAGGGAAACCACAGGAAACTACAACAGAAGTGACTGAAAGTTTTAGAGGTTGTAAAGATATGGTTTCAATTAAAAAACTTGAAGGTTACAAAAGTTATTAAAACAATTTTTCTAAATACTAAAATAGCTCTTTTTTTTTTTTACTAAAACCTTTTGTATGAGCAATATTTAGCTCGATTTGGGTCGGCACATAATATAGGTATAAACTACAGTTCGGACACTTAGTTTTAAAGTTTTCTAAAACAATTAAAGGACATATTTTTAACTTTGAAAAAGTTTTGGAATCTGTTGCTCTTTCTTCTCCTCGACAATACTAAAACTGTTTCAACAATTTTTTTGTTTTTTAAGTTTGTAGCCTTTTAATTTAAAAATTGCTTAAAGAGCAGTTACTTACGAAAGTATATGTTTATATTGTTTACCGTTGCTATCTAGAATTTTTTATTTTTATAAAACGTGGGCAGTCGTTTATAGTGTTAAAATTTGGTTCTTATTCTCTACCACTAACGCGTACTCACAAGTTTATTAAGATGGGTCGAATCTTGCGTAAGTAGCAAAACATAACTGATGAATAATCTACCAGCAATTTGCTTATTTTTTTAGAAAAAAAGAAAATCAAAAATCAGCTACATACTAAATATTAAGCACTTGTGCGTTTATTTATATAAGCTTGAATGGCTAAAAATTCATTCTTTGCTCTCGTTTTCTCCGATGAGAGTTGTTCTAAAAGTTTTTCGCTCTACGTTGATTAGTTTAACTAAATATTATTAAAAGTAATTTTTTTAACCTCTTTCAGTAATGTTTTTTTGGAACCAATGATTTTTTCGAAATCGTTATTATTAGGGCTTGTTTCTTGATAAAGTTAAAAAAATAAGATAATTTAAGAGATTTATTTTGTACCATTCAGGCAAAGAGAGATGTGAATTTGAGAACTTAATAAATACAATAAGGTTGGAAAACAATTTAATTTTTTTTTAAAAAACCACCTTTTTAGCTCCTCAATTCTTTTTATATAAGTTTCAGTTATTCTATCCAAATGATCTTAATTTTATATAAACATTAATTAAATTAATAATTTAAAAAAAAAAAGCGAAAAAAAATTTGAAAACAAAACTCTAATTTACGATGTGCACAGGGTATATTTCTCCTTTATTATTATTGTAAACGTTATATCATAGAAATAAGATAATAAAATTAGACCACTATTATAAATTTTACTTGAAATAAAAGTTTATATAAAGCTACGAAAACCAAATATTCTTATAAGTAAAAAGTTTTTGTAAAAATTTAAATTAAAATAACCGGCGACAAAAGGAAGAAAAACACTGCCAAGAAAAATTTAGTTAAAAAAATACTACCTTGCAAAGAAATTAAGGAATACTATAAAATCCTAAGAAAAATGCGGCATAAGTATAAAAAAAAAAGTAACAAAAAAGTAATTTAAATAATAAATAATTCAAAGTTGCATGTTTTATATATTATTCTACAATAAACAAAAAAATATAAACTTTCATTATACTTGTTTTCAATAAAGTAATTATAATCTGAACAATAATATAAAAATTAGGGAGAGGGGCCAAATAAAAAAACCTAATTTTTTTTCAAGATCGTGTACAAGAGTTTGTTGACTGAATGAAAATTCTAAGAAAGTACCATCTAGAAGACTTTGATTGGTAAGCTTATTCATTGCTTGGTTCGTATGAAACTATGAAAGTATATAATCAAGTTTGCAGTAGCGAGTGATTTCTAAAAGTTCTACTACTCTTTCTTGATTTATTAAATTTTCCTTTTGAATGGAAAGCTCTTCAATTTTCTCTCCTTATTTTGTTATTTTTAAATGAACTTTTAAAAGTTACGTTACGTTATATAATTTAGTAATCCAGACCAAGACTTTCCAAACGAGATTTTAGAGTAAGTTTTTGTTTTTCAACAAGATTTACCAGCTCCATATCCCTCTCTTTGGTTAACTTAGATTTTTGCTTTCGAAGAGCCTCTAGCTTAGCCTTAAAAGGTTTAAGACATGAATTTTATAAAGAGATTTAAAGTAAACAGAAAAGACTGTTAACCTTTTTTTGAGATACTAAAAGACGAAGACCAGACTTTATAAGAGTTCTTTGCTTCTCATTGTTTTTTTTTTGACGATCTGTGCAGAGAGCGACCATCTTTTTTAAAGAATTCTCACTAGCTATTTTAAAAGGTTGATAAAGTTCAAGAAACTGCTTTATATTTGGCTGAGTCAATACTAGAGTATTGTCAAGAGTCTTATTTGCCGCTTGCAACTAGTTTATAGGTAAAAAGCTTATAAGTAGACGGTCAAAAAATTGTTTAAATTTTAGTTTAAGTTAATAGCCATGTATACGCATATTAATATATATATACCAAGTCAGTAGTCAAATTTAGTGTGCAAAAGCACTCGTTTAAAGAATACATAATAAAAAAATATAGAACTATAGCACAAAAAAAAAAGTTGTGTTTCGGTGATAATACACCACACTAATAGATTTTTAAGAAGTTTAAAGACAGTTCGATAACATTTTGTTATATAAGAGACTCCTCAGCAAGACGAGCTAACCTCGCTAATGAGTAATTTTTTTTCCTTTCGGAATACGTTAATACGTACGTTTTTTTAAGTCGTCAAGCTAATATTACTCATCGAAGAAATACAAAATGTAACTTTGAAGATTTAATAACATATGCACATTTATGACAGGTGAAGACTACTTTATATTTAAACAGTTTCTAGTTTTGTTTTGCTGTAAGTTGTGTACAATTTACTATTATTAGTTAGACGCCTTTCCTAACCAACTAACATCCCTTTGGCTACTAAAAATTTGTTTTAGGTAAGACAAGTTAATAAGGTTAATTCTTTTAAGGGGGCGCTTGGTGATTGACTTTTACTGTGAATATATAAATTTCAACAATATTTACACTATTAGAATAGAGGAAGAACTTTAAACTTCCTATGTATTTTTTGAGTTATGTTATTTTTTTTAAAATACAAGTTCTTCTCACAATTACTAATTATAGTTAATGAGCATTCGCAAAGAAGAAATCTTATAAAGTTTATAAAAAGTTCTGAAGCCTTTTTTAGTCTTCACCTTTCTTAATAAATACATTATCTCCCTCCATAGAAAAGAAGTTGTAATGTTAAACAGTAAAACTTATAACTTAATATTCTTATCGTAAACGTAGAAGTGAAGTAAAGCTATTTACTGTACTTCTGTATAAAACCTTTTTATAAACTCTAAAGAGATTAAAAATGCTCAGCAGTAAACATTTTTCGTACGTGTAGTAAAGGTTGCATAGCCTTCTGTCATAAATTTTTGAAACGGAAATTACTAATATTAATCTACTTGTTAACAAATTCCTATTATAATGCACGTAAGTTAAAAAAAATGACGTTAGCTTTATAGGTTATTAATCCGCCTTTGGCCGCAAACTTAGTTTAGTGGTTTAATCAAAAAGCAACCTTTACTCTCAGCGTTATACTTGTATAAAATAAGTAATTTTACTGATTTTTAAAGGAAGTAATAACGTTTAAAATACAAATAACTAAAAGTTATGGTAGAGATACCTTTGCTTCTATGCAATAGAAGGGTAACTTTTTATATAGGATAGTCACAACTATTTTCAAATAAAAACTTTTCATTGGGCTAAACTAGAAAAGATATTGAATTAACCTATTAACCTACTAAAGTAATTTCTACTAGTCTCCGTAGAATAAACAGTAAACTAATAAAATAAAAGCAAAGTTCTTATAAAGGCAACCATAAAATGAAAAATAAGTAACGAATATAAAATTCAATAATGTTTATTGCTTGGAAAAATATTCCTTAGAATGCTCCACCGTAGGTTTAATTGTGTCGGAGCCGAGCTTCCAGCCAACAGGACAGACTTCTCCGTGAACATCAGTGTACTGAAAGGCCTGGACAAGTCGGAGGGTTTCATCCACATTACGGCCAACGGGAAGATCATTGACAGTTTTCTGTCGAAGTTTTCCTTCATGATCAATAATAAACAAGCCTCGAAGCGCAACACCTAAAGTAAAATTACTTTTAAAATAAACTAAAGAAGGTATAGGTAGTTATGAGGTAGTACCCTCATCCTCAAGAAGTACATCATAACTCCTCGAAATTGATTTAGTAATATCAGAAAGCAACGGAAGTCTCATTGGACCCAACCCCCCTTAAAATATTAAAAATATTCAAATCGCAAAAAATAAATTTGGTAAAAAAAAAAAATTATGCCTTGCTTTCGAGGAACTTGCGTCCACTGAAGATGAGAGAAGTGAGAATCCACTGAACAAGCCACTACCTCACAGTTGATCTTTCGAAACTCATCGAGACGGTCATTAAAGGCAATAATTTCAGTAGGACATACAAAGCTGCAGATTTATATAAATTAAAAACTATATGCTGTAAGCCCTTATAAAAAAAAAAATTACGTGAAATCCAGTGGATAAAATAACAAAACTACATATTTCCCGCGAAAATCAACAAGACTGAGTTGCTTAAATTTTCCTTCAACCACAGCCTGACCAGTCCACTCTGGCGCAGGTTTTTGAATTTGACAAGCAGACATGGAATACAAGAGAGAAGTCATAAAGCTTAACCACAGCAACAAAAGAACCAAAATGTAAAAACCTAGTCACGTGCCAGAAAAAGTAAAATTTTTATTAGGAAATTTTAACGCAAGCAATCAAAATTTTTATAAAAGCACCGGGTGGGAGGGATTCTAGCTCGATATAACTGTGTAATAGTTTTTTTATTATAGAACTTAATAGTAACTTACTTAATATTAGTTTTATATAAATTATACAGATAGCTTATAGTCAGCCTACTGTTGCTATAGTTAAATATTTTTGATTAACTTTAATTATGAATAACTAGTATTACACAGCTTACTTTTAAATATATAATTTTCGTTACCTCTACTATAAAGGTGTGTATGTAATTAGTGTAATCGTTAGTTAATTGGTCGTGAAATACGTATAATCCGATATTTTTTTTAATTTAATCCCTATTTACTTTATGAAAAAAAAATTTTTTGAATTACGAAGTTTAAATTTTTTAAAATCGAAACCAGTTGTGTGTACAACGCTACTTTTACTTACTAAACGATATGCATCGGGATACTAAACTATAGCGTGATTCGCGGAGGAAATGCTAAAAAAAAATTTAAGGACGTGATTCTCCTCAATCTGCAAACTTCTTACGCTTAACTAGTTATTTCTACAATTGTAGACTTCAGTCATATAAATATTTTGGTGTAATTAAAGAAGAAAAAATTGTACCACTCTTTGATTTGGAAAATAAGGATCTAACGAAAGCAAAAAAGTATGTTTGTTTCTAAAGGGGAATCATAAAGTATTTAATAACACTCCTTTTTAGAGGTTATTCCAGGCAACGCCTTTGTTTTAAATTAAACGTAACCGACTAATTTATTGAGTTCTAGTAGCATAAGGGAAAACGCTCGAAATAAATGTTGTGTTTTTAAAAGTAATTTGTAATGAGAATTTAAGGATGAACTTTCTCTCTTTACCAAAGACGCAAGGGAGTTCGTAACATAGCCTTCGTGAATATGACTTTGTCAACTCGTTTACTCTTATTACAGCTCCATTGCACCTAACTGCGGGCAGTTTTGTGAAAGATGCACTTAATCTCGGCAGGATTAACTAAGCGTGTAAACCTGTTAAATAAGCATTAACTGTGGTCTTCTGTTTCAGAAAACTTTTGGACTTAATTAAGCTATACAAACAGAAGCTAAAAGTGGAATTATTTATGTTTGAGTTGCTTAAATTGAATTTAGTGTGATTCTGTAAGAGGAAAAGAGACCATTATAACTGAATGCTCAAAGTATTTTATTTATTTAAGAAGTGACATGCCACAGTGGAGAAACCAGGGGTCTAAGACGGCTTAATATATATTTCACCCGCATGGGTAGTTGGGGGGTAAAGCTCCGCAACTGAATTATATAACGGTCATTACTCTAATTATTAGTGGAGGGCCCACCGGTAATATATATATATATAGTGCTAGTAGCTAGCACTACCTAGTAACTGCATGATTTAAATAGTGTAATTACACACCAGCATAAGAACCAACCAACCAGAGGCACCGTAAAGAACTACCCTATTAGCTAAACCTCACTCGTTACTAGGCCAGGATTGATGTGTGATTGCGAATTTACTACTAACAGCAACATAACCTTAACCTAGCAACTTAGCAGTTTCCGTCAACATGTTAATAATGTCAATTTCCGCTTCTCTTCCTCCGCCACGCCTAAGAAGGAATGGGTTCTGAGGGCAATGCTAGAACTCAACGCGAAGCCTTATGGTTAAGCTAAAGATAACACAACTTACCCATCAGAGAATGAAACAAGTTTAGTCAGCGGTTTATTAGTTTAGGTTAGAAACATCAAATGTTTACCATCCAAAGATACAGGGAAGACAGCACCTGCCGAAGGACTTAGCCTAAAGACGTCGTTTTGACAAGTTTAAGAGTATATCTTTCGATACGTGGCGTGACGCCATCTGGGACTTTCCGCTGCACATGCTCACCCTGGGCCCAATCGGTCCCAAAGGAAGGTACCATAATCACAACGAACAGGTTTTGCAAACGTTACTGCGACCTGTTTAAGCAAAATTAGATTGAGATCAAAGTAAGACCAGCGCTAGCCTTAGAGGGTGACATGACCGAATGAGAATAAACCTACATTAATCATGTGTTCGTAACGGATATCGACCTTGCGACTACACTAGATCGAAATCCCCATGTAGCCGCCAGGACTAAGACGTTTGCGGCACGAATTTTATATATAGGCACGATCTTTTTCGGGCGCTTTATTATAATGAACCTCGAGACAGAGATAGAAACCTTTACGTCCATTAAAGAGTGTACAATGCTGGACGAAGGATCGAAAAGTTCGATCCAACTGTCAAAGCCAAGGCAAATCGCTCGACAAAATGCCTCTACTGCAGGCAACCACCTACGCAGTGGCCAAAGTCAATCAACTATAAAGATCAAGTCTTACCTGCTGCGGTCACAGCCTAGCAAAGGAGCCTCGCCTATCCCGGGCTAAAAAGTCAAAATACAAAGATAAAAATGCTCGCTCAGGGCATGCGAGAGTATCGAGAGACGCTAGAAAAAAAAACGTTCTCTCTATTATTATATGCTATTTCTCTATGTTTAACTATAATAGTAAAAAGTACTAAACCGATACTCGCTGATTTTACTGTGTAAATACAGAGTAAAGGGGGCCTGTAAAATACACTATTTAGATTTATTAGGGTGCCGTTCTAAATGAAAATTATTTATGTTTTATGGTCGTGTTTAATTATGTATATGACTGTGTTAAATCATGTTACATGTTAAGTGATATAATTGTGTTTGATTATGTTATGTAATGTTATTAAATCATGTTAAATTATGTTATGTTATGTGATTATGTTTAATTATCTTAAAGAATTGTGTTAAATTATGTTAAAAGACTTGACCCGCTATATGAGGGTTTCCACAGGGTTGGTTATATCACCTGTGCAGTTCCGCTATTCTTATAACGTAGGCTGAGTTGGATCTTACCACTTCACTGAGAATTTTCCGTAGTAGATTACAATCCTGAGCGCAGTACTGATCAAAATTAGTTGCCATGATCATACCGTTACAGTTTGGTAGTCATTTCTTTGTTTCATCAAGTTTAGTACATTTATTGTAGTAATTGAATTATTGATTTAGTTTTATTTATTTATTGTATTAATTAAAATATTGTCTGAGTTTTATTTATTTAATTACTTATATTTAACTATTAAAATATTTATATTTGTTTGTCTTCTCCAATAAAACCCACCACTTGAACTTGTACCTATCGATTATAACTCGAAAAGTTCACCAAGTTATTTTCCTTTTTAGTAGAAGAACGTACTTAAAGTAGCACTACTGTTGACTAGTATTGAACTAGTTTTGTGTCCTCCTTACAACATTTGACTAAGTAAACTACAAACCCCAACGCAGTATTTCCACAACGTCAGGGGTGTTTATCCTAGCTTCTTATGTTAGCTATCTCAGACACTTTGATTAGTCAATGTTTAACCAGGGCTGTAGCCCACCACTCATAATATAAAAAGCCAAGACAATAGATTAAAGTTTTTCATTATTTATTGCTAAAGTACTATTGCTTCATGATGCTTTCTGCTGTTTTACACGGTTGTCTTAACAGGATCTTGAAAGGATCACTGAAGCGTACCTAGCCGTGATTACAGCTCAGTGAAGGAAGCCATCACCGATAAAGTTAGTTACAACATTGAGGTTAGCGGTAAAGGCACCCATCTTATTAAAATCAAAATTATGATTTTTATGAAAAACTAGAGCAAAACTAGCTGCTTTGAGGCAAACTGCCCTGTACAATGAGTAAAAAATACCAAAAACGTCAATAATTGCCCGATTATCTTGTGAAATCTTTTGCTTAACTTCCCCATTATCCTCTAATCTCCTATAATAGTGTTCTTTATCCGTAGGTAAATTATTTACTAATTATTATTCTTACTTGGCAGTATTTCCCAAGATAAAATCGATTATGAACTTCAAGGTCACAGTTTAGGTTGGGTCTGGGTTTGGGTTGCAGTAGGTAAATTATGAACAGAATTAAAACTATGAAATATATTTCAGGCTCATAATCGATTTTATCTTGGGAAATGCTGCCGAGTAATAATAAATATTAGAGAATAATTTACCTACTTCAACCCAAACCCAGACCCAGGCTGTGATCTTGAAGTACCTACGATTTGTTTTAGTCATGTTAAAAATAACACAGAAATTTCGGTACTGCCCTGTGGATTATCCTTAGCTTTTTACATCGATCTGGCCTAGTTCTAAAAGCAAAATCTTTGCTTTACTAACTACGGTCAAAGAGCTTAACCAATCTGATAGGGTAAGAATCAAACCTCAAGAAAAACTCAAAATAAGGATTTCATCTTACTAGTAAACAGAACTGACTTGGACTCAGTTTAGAAACAGCATAGACCAGTTTGAATAGGGCAGTCACTTTTGAGGACGGTTTTAAGCACTTATTAAGTCCCCTAAGCGCTAGTTAGTGAGGTTTTACGAACTAAAAATTAGTGGCTCCTATAAATGATTTAGGTCTGTAGAATTTGTTAAGCTAACTTCTGGTTAATCTAAGCCCAAGTATATTTGTCGATGAAGCACTCTTTCTCTTTGTCTAACTTTCTTATAATCCTATTTAAGGTCTGACCACGAGAAGTGCAGAATAATAAAGTAGGTAGTAACCTCCCCTTAAAGTTCTACTACGATTATTGCTAATGATGACGGTTGCCTTTATTCAATAAAAATCCTATACTTTGTATGCTGTATAGACAACAATATTGATGCCCCTTTGGAAACCACATCATAAACCGCGAGTTTAGCGTTAGATTTAAGTCCAAGTTAAACTAACCAAAGCTTCCCACCAAGATAAGTTATTAGAATCTAACGCAGGATTAGTAGAGAGAACACCACAAGTTTTAAGTTAGTTTATTAACCTCTAGAATCAAGGCTGAGATCTTGGTATTATTTGATTAAGGTCTTTTTAATATTTGTTATGTTGGATCCAGTAATAATACTTAGGTAACAAGCTTTACTCCATAAGTAGACCCTAATTAACTAGTTAAGATGGTCAGCAACCTTTTATTAACCAGCTGCGAATTAATCACTCATTTTGTTTACCAAGACCTTCATCTAGGTTACTTCATATTGCAGTTCAAAGGAGTTTCATAATATGAATATTCTTATTGATTTCTGTTACTCATTTTATTTTTGCCAAGTAAAAAAAACTTGATAACTAACACAGAGAAAACCGCCAAGAAGCTACTCGCTAAACCCACTATATGAATACCTCTAGCGCCTTTTACTACGACGCAAGGGGTAAAACTCCTTTAGTGAACAACAAACCCCCACACGGTATTTCCACAATGTTAGGGGCAAACTCCTTTATTAAACATAAACCCGTCTTTTAATAATATAGAATAGTGAAAACATTATTGTAATTATTGCTATAAGCATAAACATTTAGTATTTAAGTACCATTGTTATTATTAGTATAAAAGGTTTACGTAAGAATACTTGAGTCATTTGTGTTCAGAGTAGTGGGTAGGATCGTAAGCTACCGCCTTGGACAAAAATTGGTTAGAATGCGCGCTGAAGTCTGAGAACCAACTACTTGCTGCCTTAATAAAAAAGTCTCTGAAAAACTCGCTTTTCAATTCCGATGTAAGTTGTGGTTAGGCGAACGTGCTATAATGCCCTGGTTATCATTCGAAGAAAGTGGTTCGGTGGGATTTTGTAGCCGATTAACGATGACTTCCGAGAAGGCCAACGCAATTGACGGCGTTAGTGAGTTTTGGTCTAACTAGTTGTAGATCATCAGTTTGTTTTTTGGCTAAGTTTACTTTTTTTGCATAGTGGAGGGTAAAGAGTGCTTAACAAAGCCTTCGCTTTCTTAATAAACGTAAGAGGTGTGGGCAAACCAATATACTTTGGAGTGGATTATCACGCCTAGTATTTATCGTGATCACTCCAGGGGATCTCCGTTAGTAACAGGGAAAGATCGGTAAGAGGCCTTTTCATCTTTTTCTCGTTAATAAAGGACCTTACTTTTTGCAGCATTAAATGTTACTTGCCATGTGTCAAACCATTGTTCAGGTATTTTAAGAAATACTGAAGGTGCCTTAATACTAAGAAGTTTGATTTTAACTGCAATATATTGGGATGTCATTCGTATATTGAGCCTTAAAGATGCTAATAGGCGCGGGGATATAATAACAGTAGATGATAAAAAGAAGTAGGGAAAGAAGAGATCCTTGAGGAACTCCAATAGTTAGTTTACTTTGGCAGTTTTTTTTGAGCTAATTTTAGTAAAGTTTTTTCGTGCAGAAAAGACTTAATTATGTGTGAGGTTTTTAGAAAAGCTACATTTAATCAGTCTGATTAGAATACCATTGGGGCATATCCTATCAATTGCTTTCTCGACATCTAAGAATACTGCTGCCGTTGACTTTCATTCTTTAAAGGTTCGTCCCGAACTTAAGATTATGCCTAAACGCTAATGGGCAATTTGGCCATATATGTTTATCTTCACAAAGATTTGTAGCCTTTTTTAGTATTACTGCTTCCAGTGCTTTGCTTAGGCACGAGAGTAGACTACTTGGGCGGTAGTTTTAGACAATATTACCAGGTTTACTTGTTTTGGGGAAGAAAATAATGTTCTGCAAAATAGAAGTTTTTCAGATGCTGAGTAAACAATCTTTTTTTTTTTGTCAATAGGGAGTATATAGGTTATCTTTCTTTTTACCAGATGACATATTAGCTACCTTCCAAATGGATTTACAAGAAGTTAATGAGATAAATTTGTTTTCCCACATTTAGTTTAAAAAATATCTTTAGTTCCTTTTTAATTCTTTGGTTTAATATACTACAGCGCTTTTATAAGAAGGATATAGACTCGCTTTATATTCATTTTTTAAACGTTTCCTCCTTTTAATGTTTTCTGCTAGCGGGGAGAGAGAGACTAAAAACATTTGGTAAGACTTTTTGTCATGAGAATAGATAGAGACGGTTTTGATGCGGAAGACGGTGTCGTCAATTTCTGAAAAGTTGGCCATCTATCAAGCTAACAAAATTTAGTGTTTAAGAAGATCTCGAAAAATCTTCCAGCCAACGAGAGTGAAAGGACCCCTAACAAGATATCGATTAGTGTCGGATCATGATACGAGGAAAACTCTTGTAGGGTTGTGATAAAGTCTGGTATTGACATTCTGTAATGTTGCGTTGTCCGGACTATCTAAAGTACCTCGTTTAAATAATGTGTAGGCTCGGACGGAGCTAAGACAACACAATTTGAATCTTTCCATTAAAATTAGTTTCCTACAGTTTTAAAATGTATGTTTGGAGTAAGGGCCACCGTAAAATAATTGAGGTTTCATCATGAAGATCTTATTTAATTTTTAGTGCATAACACTTTACCTGAAACTTTATACATGACCATAGTATTTGTTGGGCCGGTTGATTGAAACTAATTGTTTATTTTTCAATAGCTTCTAAGCTTTGAAGCTCTGGGTATTTTACGCAGAATAGGGGTTTATGCTTGCCTCCCCTTCTTGAGTTATTGCGGTCTTTACTATATTAAATGTAGTTAGGCAGGTTCTTTTATGTGTGTTTCGGAGAGTAGAATAATATCAGGTTTTAATGATGAGTTGAGCCCCTGTAATTCTTTTTTTGTATTCCTAATTCCATCAGCATTTCGTTAAATAATTTTAACCCTATATTTTAGCGGAAAGGAGTCATTGAAAATGATTCAGTTTGTCGAATAGATCTGCTATAGATTGGCTATTTGGTTATTAATAACCTTAAGTAATGAGGTAACAACGTGTTTACTTATTAATCTCATCTAGGTTAGTTTTAGTAATATTATTTTTTGCTTGGGCATAGGTTACCTTTAGTTGGATGGGATTACCTTGTTTGTTGAGAAAAATTCGAATAGGCAATGTCTCTTTCCTACATGGGGCTTTTTAGAGGTAGTAAATGCATCCTTTATAACTTACTGGGTGCTTCTCCTTGACAATTAGCGCAGATACGTTTTTCCTCAACCTTCTTGGTGCAATCTTCAGATCCGTGGTCTTTTCCGCATTTCATGCATCGAAGCATCAAAGAGCAATATTTTTGGGTATGTCCAAGTAAATAGCATCTGAAGCAACGGCCACTGCCACCCTATTTAAAGGTTCAACAGACATCGAAAGGCCTCAACTTGGTTACTTAGACTGAAACCAAGGATAGGTCCCTCGATTTTCAGTATAACCGCGTTTTGTATAACTCCTCTAGAGCGAAATCTTTCATTTTCTAGTCCGACTTCGAAATCGGAAATTGGCTTCTCTATAAAAACTCCGCAAAATATAACTTTAACTTCTTTTTCGGAGGAATTTGTATGGGTAGTATTCATATTTGCCTAAATCTAATAAGGAGATAAGTTTTACTGTAATCTTTCTCGCTTGTAGGTGAAATCCTAAATGCGTGCGCAGTATCTTTAGCACTTGTAGTGGTAATATTATTAATTTTTTCATATTAGTAAGAAAATTTCATTCTTCTCTGTTTCTAAGAGTGATAGGAGGAATTCTGTATTTCTTGTTATTTACTTTTTTTTGTTAACAATAACTTGATAATCATTATTAGAATTACTAGATTTGTTTGTCGTTGTTATCAACATTACTGAACATGCGTTCTTAGTATTATTATTGGTATTGATTCTAATAGACTTGTATTTTAAGCTTTTCAAAGGTTTCTTATTATTGTTGTCGATCCGTTTATTAGTGGTATTATGGTCACCATTATTATTACTATCTTACTATTACTGTTTTTACTTTTATCGCTATGATCTCTCGAGATGTTTTTATTATAATTACTACCATTTCTAGTTTCCGTAATTTTAACTTATGCTTCTTCAAGAATAATTTCTGAAGTCCAAGATCTATCGAGTAGTTGTAGGGCATTATATAAATTACCACTTTTCTTTTTCTTACCTTCTGGTAAAAATGTTTTCAGAAATTCTTTTTTAAAGATCGTTTAGTAATTATTTTGTGAATTCTAAATCATTTCTAAGGTCATTATTAACAGCTAATATATCATCAGTAAGATCTTGTTGATTGCCTCTGGAAAAAGAACACATAGAGGTAGTCATCCATATATAAAGTTTAAGTTTTCAAATATATATGTATAGATATATATTAAATAAAGCGCTATATAAACAGAAAAAAAAGATATGTATATAAGTAGGTGCAGGTATATATAACTAATAAGTTATTAGGCGGAAATAAGGAAAATATTTATAGTAAATTCTTAGTAAAAAGTAGAGGTGCACAGCCCTCATCACCGCAAAAAAAAAAAAAAAAAATCGATTAACCAGTTGAGTTCTGGATCAACCTAACGTATAAACGAAGTTTTTACTAGATTGATTAATTAAGAACAAGCCCTTGCGGGGAGTTGACTTGACTTGAAAACAGTAATGCAACTGCTGAAAAGATTAGATTTTAAAGCGGTTGTCAAAAAAAAGATCTTGATACTTAAAAGATAAGCTAATATAACATCACAAAAAAAAATATTTAAGGGAGCTGCTTAAGAGGTTTTTTAAAGTTATATCAGTAGATGTAAAATTTTAGTGACTTTTTAGCTTGACTAACCTTCAACTGAAATTTACTATGTCTTCCTTGCAAGTCTTCTTGAAAAATATAACTTGTCAGTTTTTGGGTAATGAACCACAATGTAATTATGATGGACGAAACTGCCGAGAAAACATGCCACATGACAGTAAGTTGTATAGGTTCCTACCATCGACAGTACCTTACAGAACGATTCTACCACCAGTGGTGAAAAGAAATTATGTTATATTTAATACCACCTTGGAACCTACAAAACTTCCCATCCACTTTTGTTAAGTATGAACGCAGAATTACTGCACGACTGTGGTACATGGCGCACGGGGAAAAGTTTGGCACAATCCTTCTCGCTGGGTTTACAATATTTCATTTTATGATAACGCGTGGAAGATTTTTTTTGAATGCCAATTTTTAATAGAGAATTATGACTTCGAAACGAAGCCCTTAGGGGGAATGCTTAAAAAAAAAGTTAGTAAAATTTTACCGGTTAAGGTAAGTTATGAGTATTACTAGTATAAAAATAAAAATTTACGTGCACCACCCCATAACAAATTCAGTGCTACTTTTTGTCCTCCACCGGAGGCCCTAGAGCCATATATACACTGAAAAAATTATTTACCTAGTGCTTCACCCAAGAACTTCGGAAACTAAAACTATATACTATTTTGGAATTTCTTTATAAAAGGTGATGGTTCAGTACATAAAAAAATAATGGCTTTACTTCTATTACTAATTGTATAATTAGAATATACCAAGTCGCTTACAAATTTTTCGATGTAGAACTTTTTATAAAAAACGAGCCCAAATAACAATGAAACTTGGTCTATCTTAACTCCCACTATTAAACAAAAACTTTAGTTTTTAAGAAAATTCTAAACTTTGAGAGCTTCATAACACACCGAGTATACTGGTGTTATCCTTGAGAGCGAATGCATGTGTGCAGGATTTCGTGGTCGTCCTTAACCGGTTGTTACCAGCTCGTGGTTTTTAGATGAAGCGTAAAAGTATGATAACAGTCGGTGCTTCCTTTATTTAAAAAAAAAATTGCTAGGGAACCACTTTTATGCATTCGTGGCTATATTCCTTTTCAAATGACTATGAAGCGGAAACCCCATCTCCAGGATTGTGTGTCTTAATGCTACTTTGCAGGTTATCTATTATAAATTTTGTAAAACCCCAAAGCGGTTTACTACTACGTTCCACGCCCAACTGATGAGAGTAAAGTTCATGCTTTAAAAAAACCTAAGATATGGTTTAAAAGTGAAGGTGCCGTTTGTCAGACCGTTCATCTTTGCGGTTGGGTTGAAGATTTTCAATTAGGTTTTTATTACTTTGCAATCTTAATAATTTTGCTAAGTAAAGTGCCGTTTGTGAAAACTTTTTGTCAGAACTTATGCTTTCGCTTTCAGATCTGTTGTAATTTTATATTTGTGCTTTTGTAAATTCGGCCAGTTGAAATTAATATGACTGCGAGATTCTTCGGGTATTGCTCAAATAATTACCAAACCTGATACTATTTAATCGATAACGGAGAGCTTGATCTTGAAATTTAAAGCTGTTACCCTGCATTAATAGCTTTGAGAAAGAGAGGCGGAAGTTGGAAAGTTTACAACCCCTCTTCTTAAGGCCAAAGAGTAGATTTAGCTTTTTGTTTTGGCAAGTTATAGATTGTTAAGATTTCCGAGCAAACTATTTCTAACTTCTCTTTCTTCTGTACTGAACTAACGGTTTGGCCGAAACTCCAAAAAGAAATTTTTTGAGCAACATAGGAAATATTTTTTTCGCCCTTAAATAGCCTTTCCCCGTTTACTCAGTTTATACGAGATGATATTTACAATTTTTGTTGAACGACGGTGCAAACTTAACATTTTCGTCCAAAATTAGGTTTTTCGTAAAATGTTTTCGCCCAAAATTTGATACCGTCTTTGGATCTGAACCGAATAATGGAAAGAACTTATGGTGATGAAACGGTTAAAAACACACAATAGCCTAATAAACTTTAATACTAACCTAAATATAGAACAAAAAGTTATGTTCAAAAAAATAATCTCTGCAGGATTTGTTACTGTGGATAAAGCTATGCCTCTAATAGTAAAAAGTTTTCAGCCACATTCTAATTATATCAAGCAAGTTTCCCTTCTCTTCGCTCGGCCAGCTAAGATGACTTAGTCATCCAAAACGAAGATTTCTTTTATAAGTGCAGCCTCGGATTTTTTTTTTACTTTATCACTTAGTTCTTCTAGCACGCTATTCTATGGGTCTATGATTTAAATTGTCCTTGTAAAGATAGAGCTCAAAAATAAATTTACTTAATCAAGTTGAAAAAAATTATGGGAGTAGGACTTACGACTTAATTTTTAAGGCTGTAGAAGGCTTGCTTTAAAAGTTTTTTTGCAAAAAAACTAAAAAATATTTAGAATTGAAGTGAAACCACTTTACTCGAAAAGAGATGTTCCTTTTTTTAAGATATAAAAATGCCTTGAACAAAAATTGTAAAGATATAAGGCTTCTCCATGCAGTGCAAAGATACCACGACTCCAAAAATATGTTTGCCCTATTAATAAAATATTTCAGGTACAATCTCTTTCTTTGCAGGTCTAACGTTTACTTAAAAGTCGCTTGGGAAGAGTAAAAAGGGAAAAAAAATTCCCAAGTTTGCTAGCCGAGGCGGTTTTTTTATGGCCCTGGATCTTTTACCCTTAAAAAAAGTAGATCCCTAAATTAGTTTGGCTTTAACTTAACCCGACGAAGACTGAGTGAAATATTATAAATTAGTTCATAATGATCTTGAAAAAACCGGAATATTGAAGACTAATTTTTGTTGCTACAAAAGAGGTTGACAGCGGTTTTTTTCTAACTGGGAACAATGTTTTCGGCTTGATCTCTAACTGTCCCAAGTGGGGAAGGAGAGGGGACTCTTTCACTAAGTACATCTCAGCCGCCGCTCTCTTATCAAAGAGTGAAGTTCAGATGACTTTCCATGCCAACATAATAACGATTATGAAGGGGATGTTACCGAAACTTCCATCCCTACTCCCGAAAACTTAAGTGTTTATGAATTTGAGGCGCCAATTCCCATGGAAGATATTTCTTGTATAAAAGGTTGTATAGAGCAGGTGTGCGTAAATAAAAAAGTTGTTCTTTAGACTGTTTTAAAAATATTCTAAAACTAGTTATTTTTACAAGCGGCGTTCACTGACTGCGCTTTTAAAGCCATAAAAAAAAACATATTTATTGCTTTACTTATATATAATAAAGCCTAATGAAAAAATTTTCGAATCGGTTTTATAAAGTTAAGATACCATTTTTAGGAAAAAAGTTTGTATAATTATTCTTTCTTACTAAAGTAAAAAAATACACAGTAGATTTTGCATAAAATAAAAAAAATTAAAAACTTACAGGTCAAGGAATAACTACTTTAAAGATCTTTAAGAGAACTAAATATATGTAAGTCAATTTTTTCAAAAAAACTGAACGCCGCTCCCTCCATGGGCAATGCAAGTTGAGAACTTTGACGTCGACAAACAATTTTTACGATCCCCGCGTAACACAACTTGAGATGGGGGTATGGAGGGCGGATCCACCGCACCTTATCTCAGCGAGTTCGCGTTTTTATTTGGTTTTTGGTTCAATTAATTTTTATGGGCTTTCTGATTAATTTAAAACATTTAATTGCTACAACTTAAATTGATTAAAAAAATTACGAACCCTGGTCGTGTGATTAGTAATAATTAAATGTAATTATGTTCTATAAGCCAATTCAAGTTAGTGTTTTTTGAGCCAAATTTAAATGCTGCTTTTGAGCTAACTAGTTGCGTAAACCGTAACGAAACTCTACATGTAAATATTTATAAATGGTTTAATCATGTTGGACAAAGTTTAATAAAGTACGACCAAAATTAGCAGAAACAAAGGCAGACAGCAAACCATGAACCACGCGTTTCCGTCTATTGAGAGGGTTTGGGTGGCTTAAAATTTAAATAAACTTTACGTTTTCCTAAAGTTTATTGTAAATAGGTATACTACAATAAAGGAGACATTCTATGAGTTTATTTAAAGGCAAACATTAATTAAATATACTTATAAGAAGCTTTAAATATTATTTAACTTTTTTCTATTTATATAGATGCATATGCATATTTATAAATTAAACAATTTAATAAGAGAAAACCCTTCTATGGTTGATATTAGTCAGATAAGTCATTGCATAGCCCAAGATTTATTAATAAATATTGACATTAAATTATCCAACTAGTCTTGATGACATCATAACAACAATTTTTACAGACCTACCATTTAACTTTGGGGTAATTAAAGCGCATGCTCATTCCATAATTACCAATTTCTTATATTCCTAGTTGCAGCCTTTAAAATTACATTTTTTTTAATTATAATTATTCTTAGCATAATGACATCAGATAAAATGTATTATTAACTAGCCAACAATTTAAATATATAAATAACTTTATCGTGCTTCGCTAAGCTGAGCCTTTAAAAAAAGAAAATGAGCTACTTTACAAAGGTACTGTACTTTATAACCCTTTTGAATGGAAAAGAGAGCTGGGCTAGGTGCCAACTAACCTCAATTCGAGCTTACTTGTAAGTACAGTTTAGTTTAACCGTTTAATTAGTCTTTAACGCTTTTGTTTATAAGGAACTTATTTATGTTCCCAAGTAGAGTTCATTGATCTCAAATATATTAATGTTTAATAAAATCGGTATTAAAAGTAGATATGAGACAATACTTTTGTGCATTTTCGTATACAGGGATTTGTCTCAGTGCTCTTATAAGACTTTTTTTCCTACCAAAGGGATTGCCTCACGTGTAACCTCTTTGTAAGTCTAACTCTTTAAAAACGTTATAACTAACTTATTTTGACATTAAAAAGGAATCTTCAACTAAACTCAATTAGCGATGTAAATTCAATTACATTTAAAGACCTCCCATTGTTAGAGGAATTGTGAGTTTCCTTACAAAACGTTGAATCTCCTCTTACTAGATAACTTAAGATAGGCACCTTAAAAATTTTATTTTAGTGTAGCTAAAAATGTGGTTCAAAGGATGAGTTCTTTAATTTATATTAACAAACTGAGTAGACAGCTGATATGTATAAAACTTCCTAATTAAAAATTAAGCTTCCAATCATAGTTATAGTTGTCACAATTTAGCTTATTACTGAATAATTTAAGACATAAATGCGACGTAAGGAGTTTATGAACTTACCTTATTAAATTGTAAATTTTAGTATAAATATATCTGGCATAGTTTGATACTTATTAGGCCAAATCTTTATATGAAACTTAACACAATTCAGAAAAATTCTTAAAAAACAATAGAATTTCTTGAGTTTGGTTTTTTAAAAAATGTATCATAATTCTAGATATTTACATTCAAATTACATCAAATCAATTGGTTCTGATTCTTTCAAAGACTTGGAAAATTTAAAAAGTTTGTAAGGGCTACTATTTCTTTGAATAAAGAACAGCTTTTTTTATTGCGAAGCAAACCGAGTCAGTTATACCTTCATAGATGGTTAAACAACAATAAACTTACTGGTATAAGTGACACAATGTTTACGGGTCTTACAAACCTCGAGCAGTTGTAAGTAAATCACAACTTAGTTCTTTAACCTTTTAGTTAATTAATTACTGTCACCA